TGAAAATACATAATTCAGAATCACATTTTATCCTGTTTAACACGTGGAGATAACTCATTTTCACAACTACATTTGATTTATTTCAGTTTTAAAAGAGTGCAATACATCGGATTAACAGTTTTTTTATGGGAAACGAGAAGAATTGTAACATGTCCTTGCGTTTCTGTTTTTTTTTCTTTCTTTTATTAAAATGATTTTCAGACACTTTCCTTCCAAACGCACTCTAATACATGTTCAGATATCATACGATACTTTTGTTTTCTACTGTAAAAATATTTAGGGTTAGTTTAGTATAGCAATGATAACAAGAGTTTGAAACCATATTTCTAATATGAAAAATCAATATTTGTTTACTAGAAGGTTTAAAGCAGTTCTATTTATTTGAATGAAATTCAAATGAATACGCACGTATTTATGGATTGCATCAATCACACAGCATTTATACTTTATTCATAATTATCATATAAACGTAACACAACAGCTAGTGATATGTTGTATTGAAATACATATGAATCTCATATTGGTATTAATTGCTGAATACAGTAACATATTCACAACAAACTGTAGCTATACCTGAGGAAATATTCAGTTACAGTTTAATCATAGTATATGTTTCGATCTGGCGAGAATCAAGGAAAATTTGACTGCTGAATCAATATTAATGAAAGTAGTAATAATTCAAGTACTCTTACTCTCTCTAGAATAATATTTTAGAAAACCTGTTTTATTGCACATATAAATAGCAGTAATTTATATATATAATGTAAATTAAATCAAGTAAATGGTTTCCAATATCTTCCCGCCAACGGTAATTTTATTGAAACTGCCTTACAACATTTAGTCCAAAAAAACAACAAAATAGTATTTTAATTCCACCTGTATTTAAGATACCGATACTGTATCTTAAGCCTTACGAATACGTACGTTAAAATGGATTTTTTTTAAACGTAAATACAAATTTTATTCAAATAATCAAGCAGAAATAAAGAAATTGTAGCAAGTTGTAATTTTTAGAAATTTACTCTAGGAAAAGGCTATAGGATTTAAAAATAAGTTACAGAGAAAGAATAAGTTATAATAGTACCCTTAGAGTCATAGCTGTTTCATAATAAAAAATATTTAGTTAAACAACTTATCGCAATAACTAGATTAAAACTGAATCAAATATGAAATATAATATTAAACAATGTTTATTTCTATAATTAAACCTATAGGAAAGCTATTCACATGTCTGTATTGAAACTTTTTATCATGGTGTTAATGAGCGGCGTAAATATGAAATTAATTGAAATTATAAGTAAAAGTTTGTAGTTTTAGTAATTGAAAATGTATTCGGTTATATTTTCACTAAAGAAATATAACCTTCTTGTAAATAATCAGACTGAATAGTTGTATTTGAAATCGAAAACATTTTTATTTCAAAGAAAATATATATGTACATTCTTAAAGGTATCTGTACAAAATTTACAAATATTTGTAATAATTCCTTCATTTTGACGTAAAAAATAAAGATGATTCAAATAAAATTCCTTATTTAAAATTATGCTTGTATCTTTGTTTGTACTGAGTCAGTTTAGATTCTCTATCATTCATTCATATTTTCCTGAGTGATATTATTATTAAACTAAAGGAATCTTGAAACTGTTTTTACACTAGATCATTTTAGTAGTTAATTCGAGGTAAATATTCATCAAGTATCCTATGGGAAAAGACAACAAAAATTGTAAAAACTACAGAGCAATAAAAAATTTCGAATTACAGGACAAAACGTTTTTTCAACATTATTTTGTAAGACTGTTTTTAAAATTGCTGCTTTACAAATACTGTCGCCATATGAAAACAGAATTAGAGTAACTCATATTGAAGTTTAAGATGAAAACACAATTGACTTATCTCTAGTTACCAGTGTATTAATATCCACTTTTCACGACACTAACAAATTACGTTGGATAAAAAAATAGATGACTCATAAAATAAGAAAAGAATAAACCAAGCGCTTTCGGAAATAAACATTCAACAACTGTGCTATGTCTATAGAAAAAAAAATACCATTATGATAAAATAAATTATAAAATACTCTGAGAAATAAAAAAAATCAAATTACAGGACAAAAATGGTCACTATTATTAATTAATTCTACATCATCGAAAAAGGAAGGTCTATTTTCAGGAAACACTCGGGTTAATGTTTATTTATCACTTTTTAGGTACAGAACATCCGTACTCTCAGATACAGAACATCCCACAGATTTCATACTCTCAGATACAGACCATCCCACAGATTTCATACTCTCAGATACAGAACATCCCACAGATTTCATACTCTCAGATACAGACCATCCCACAGATTTCATACTCTCAGATACAGAACATCCCACAGATTTCATACTCTCAGATACAGACCATCCCACAGATTTCATACTTTCGGATACAGAACATCCCACAGATTTCATACTCTCAGATACAGACCATCCCATAGATTTCATACTCTCAGATACAGAACATCCCACAGATTTCATACTCTCAGATACAGACCATCCCACAGATTTCATACTTTCGGATACAGAACATC